CCCCCACATAGCACCCCTTTATAACAACCTTCTGAAGGTCATTTCAATATACATATACATGCATAAATGCATGCCTGGGACAGCAAGCAGCCCCCCCCCCCAAGCCTGTGCCGGGTGGGAAGATGGACAGATATACATGCACCCACAGATATTACCCTGAGGTGCTTTAGGAAAGATACTGATGCCATCAGTAGTTCAACCACCTCAGACCAGCACATCCCCCCCCCCACCCAAATCTGTTCCCTGTTAATTTAACACAAAAAAATAACATAGTATCTGGCCTGAGGTAACAGAATTTCCATACAAAGTGCTATGCAACATATATGTATATCAAAATATACAGACATATACATATTCATACACAGACAGTGCGGTGGGGAATCAGCAGATCATGGTTTGGCTGCCCGAGAGAAGCCTTGTGCAGTCAGCGATGATCCCGAATCGTTAGATTCATCAGCACTTGCGCACCAGGGTGTATCCGCATGTCTTCTGTGCGAGGGCCTCTCCTCTCCCCCTCTAGGACAGTTGAAGTGCTAGTCCACATCAGATGGGTGGCATCATTCTGGTGAGCGAGATGAACAGAGAGAAACAACGTAAGTAAATCCGGAATGTTCCGTCCACGTCCAGATACCCATAAAGGCAGCAGTCCGACCCTATGTTGTGTGCTGATGTGACCCACCAATCACAATGCTGTCACCCCAGCGTTCCCACTGGCATATCCTGACAGGATCATCTGCTTTTTCCCAACAGGATCTGTTGGGCGTAACTCTGGTTTGGGTTTGTCACCTGCTCCTAGGACCAGAGGTATTGTGTCTTAAACACATTCCTGAGAGCCTTAAGGTCTGATATTCCCTCGCTGAGTCACTTCAGCTCACATCTTTATCCAAAGCGAACTTCACTGGGCATTTTGCTTACTACCCCCCCCCCCTTTAGCAGGCTGTGCCCCCTCCCTCTATGTACTACAGTAACCCCCAGTGAACAGGAAGAGGATTCACCAGCTTGTCTGGAGAGAACCAGGGGTCTGATACTCACTCCTTTGGGCTGCCGAATATATCACATCTGAAATTAAAGTTTGAGAATGTTGAGATCAGAGCGGAATTTTGTTTTTGAAGGTCAATGCTGATGTTCATTCAGACAACGGGGTGGGCTCACAAACCTAGGCTCCCGTTGCGGGAACATCTCCTCCTCTGGAGCACCACTGCCAAGGCGACAATGAAAAGGACACTGACCAGCACACATGCGACGATGATGATGATGCTGTCCGGCTGCGGCGGGTCGATTATCTGATCTGATTATAAGAAATAATCGGTGAGTTACGACAAGAAACACGGTATAACAAATGCAGTCACTTAATTCAAAGTAACTAAATTACAGGATGTGGGATGGGATGTGGGCTTCCCTCTGTCCAATTAGAATTTAGAGGAACCGGAAATGAGGGTTTTCTCTGATGAAAATAATTGAAGTTATATACAGCTGGGCTCTGGCGGAAGCTTCAGGCTTTCTGTCCTTGGGGAAGTGTGTACGGGCCGCGGGTCAAAGCACAGATGCATGGTGGGAAATGGGCCAGCCTTTGGCCAAGCTGCGCTTGCTGCAGCGCCCCCTTGTGGTCAGGGTGCCTGTCTGTGCGGCCTGTGCCGTTCGGTGCTTTTGTTCTGCATAATTTACAACGGGAACCGTGGAGTCAGTTTATTACTCAGCGCCGCTGTGCTGTGGTGTCTAGCGGCCTCGGGGGGGCTGGTGGAACGAGGCACTACACCAGGGCTGTGCTGTGCCTGGGCTGCAGTGCGTCACCCGTCACTGCGATTCGGCTCACATCCTCTTATTTCATTCATTTCCAGTGGGTTGAGCTCAGCTGTGTCCCCACGATTGAAGCAAAGTATGAAAATGCAGGATATGGGGGCTAAGCCCCACCCCCTCCCACCAGCACTCACGGACATTCAGCACTGAGCTGAGGTTTCCCACGATGCAGGTGACACTCAGCGGCTGGGAGACGTTCAGCGTGATGGTGCTGGACACGCTGAAGAGCCCGGTGACTGGGTCCTCCATAATCTGCTTGGTCACCGTGGCCCCGGGTACATTGGGCACGAGGACCATCTCCATTTCGGACTGCGGGTAGCCCCCATTACTGGAGCATGTGACATTGCATGTGCTGCCATTGTGGATCTCCATCAGCTGGGGTTGGCTGTAGTTGGCTGTGGGTAGGGATAAGTAGGGAGCTTGAGTACACTGGGGTGGGCACAGTCACTCGTCCACCAATCAGAAAGCGGGAGGCAAACACAGGAGTAGACAGGCCAGCAGTTACCTGTGATTGTGAGATTGTACTTTATCTCGCTTGTATGGCTTGTATGGCTGTCAATCTTGATCCTGACTACACAAACATACAGGCCCTCGTCGGCAGGACTCAGGTCCCACAGAATCACTTGCCTACTATTGCTGTCCACATGCGAACGGTTCTTATAAATGGCTGGCATTTCAACCGGTTTCTGAGCGTGGAAGCCATTCACAAAGATCATATCTGAAGGCTTGCCGACTTCCTTCTGCAAGTACACGAACTCAGGATCACCTCTCCCATCGCTGGGGCACGTGAACGTGGCTGTACCCCCCACTTCTTTGTGGATCTCCACAACTGAGGCCGACGATCCTGTGGAACATGCAGAGAGACACACGGGAGGGTCAGCGTGACCCCCTGTGCTGACGTCACGCCCGCGTCAGTTTCCCTTTGACTTCATACAATCCAAATCTGTAGTGTGGAACGAAAACCTGACGTGGAACACTCATTTCTGTAATTTCTCCCTCCTGAATGTAAGAAGAGTTTTGTGGCAGCTTTGTGACTGTCGATAAGACGGCTGGGGATTTCTGTGCGATGGGTCATTACGGTAAGATCTGAGTCGATTTTTCGGTCCCTGTTCTTTTAAAGGAACAGTATGGATCAGCTGAAGTGAAAGTTCATTAGGGTGTGACATGAAACACCTACGCCTTTAATGTGTCTGGGGATGAGGGTTAAGGGCTTGTGTTCAGCATGAACCCAAAATGCATGTGGCATTTCCTCCTGGGAGGGTCCTGAGGGTGTTATTCTTTTGCCTGACTGTGCATGTGCTCCTGCGGGCAGAAGTGGGCACGGATGCACCGTGATCTGCTGAGGTGAAGGCCGTCATGTTCCCGAACCATATTACAAGCAGTCATGTGACACGTACCAGTATCCGCCGCTAGTAGCACGAAGACGATGAGCATCATCTGGCATCTAGGAAGGAGGAACAGAGGTTCAGAGTGAGTGAAGGCTGCTGTCCCTGGGGTCCGCACAGGCCCACGGGGCTGGCACAGGTTCATTATGGTGCCTGAGCTGCATCCCTCTCCTCTGGTAGTCGCACCAGCAGAAACACTGACAGTTAAACAGGACAATAATAAGTAATAAACCTAAGTCATGCAGATTGGCCTGGCGGGAGGAATGCTGAAGACGCTTCCCAAGGCCGTCCTGCGAGATCTCCTCAAGACACATCTTAAGACACTGGTCAATAAAGTCATTGAACTTTAAAGCAAATCTCATGTCCTCATATCAATAGGTCGTTACCATAGTTTTAATAACGGAGAATGAATTAGCAAGGCTGTCAGGTGGCATATTTGGGGCGTCTCTCCAGAGGGACCATCCCTGTTAGACAGTTTCAAGTAACTGTTGCCAAAAGGAAAAAACTTATTTTGCTCCTGTTGTATAAATAAAGAGTACAGATATTACAGAACTACTGTTTGGATCAGTGAAGCCAGAGTTTGAATGAAAACCACCAGGAATTGGGCTTGATTTCACCCTTAGGATTTTTCAGTAGGGGCACTTTAAGACAAGGGCCTCA